GCAGGTGAGTGTGGTGGGGGTGGCAGGGTCTGGGCTGTGTGGAGGGGAGTGGGTTTCCCTTCCTTTCCCTACAATCCAGGTCAAGTTCTGGGGGCCCTGCCCCTTTGGCTCACTAGGCTGAACAGCTAATCCTTTGCAATAACAGCCCCTGGGAGCAAGAGCAGAGACAAGCTTTTCACAAAGCAGCCAGAGTTCTAAGAAGAGGTGGGGGGTAGGGGCGCCTGGGTGGCTCCGTCGGTTGAGCGTCCGACCTCGGCTCAGGTCATGATCTCACGGTTTGTGCAAGATCATACTGGCTTGGGAGCCAATAGGGTGCAGATTTATTGACATGTACTCATCCTTTTTAAAAAAAAAAAAATGTTTTTAATGTTGGGGCGCTTGGGTGGCTCAATTGGTTGGGCATCCGACTTTGGCTCAGGTCGTGATCTCACAGTCTGTGAGTTCGAGCCCCGTGTCGGGCTCTGTGCTGACAACTCAGAGCCCGGGGCCTGCTTCGGATTCTGTGTCTCCCCGTCTCTCGGCCCCTCCCCTGCTCATGTTCTGTCTCTCCCTGTGTCTCAATAATAAATGTTAAAAAATATTTGTTTTTAAAAAGAAGAGGTGGGGGGTAGTGTTGGAGATGGAGAGAGCTGGCTTCACGAGGGGCTTTCTTCTTACCTGATGTCTCTGTTCCCAAGCCCTACTAAACCCCCTCTTGTTTTTACTCACCGGTAAGTTAGCTAGCTCATTGGGCCTTCTGGGGTGGAGAACCGTTTCTCAAAAGGTCGGGCCCAATTCCCCTGGGCTTTTGCTTGAGGCTTGGAGGGAGAGGTAGAGAAAGCAGTACAGGACTGTTGGGTGGGGACACGTCCGTCCCTCTTCCCCAGATAGTGACTCCCCCACCCTGTGAGAACGGCCTGTGGAGAAGAACGAGCAGGGAGGACAAGGAGGAGAGGAGGAGCACCCAAGCATTCCGGTTATGGATCCAACATCAGTGTTGGCTGAACTGGAGGTGCCATGCTAGTGGGTGTCTGCTATTCCTTAGGACTCATGCACCTGTCTTCTAGGAGTCTAGGCAAAGATCATGAGCCTTGGGAACAGGTCAACACAGAGTAGATGCTTGTGGGTGGGTGGGTGGGTGGTTGGATGGACGGACGGACGGATGGGCGGATAGTGGATGGATGGGTAGGTGGGAGGGATGAGTAGATAGTTGGCACGTTGGACACAATAATTGAAAAGAAAGGGGAAGAAGGAAGATAGGTGGGAAGCAGAGAGGTAAGAGGAAGGAAGGAAGGAAGGAGGCGGGTAGGCAGTGGGTAGGTAAGTGGACTGACAAACTTTAGCCCTGGCTCCGCCAGGGTGACAAAGCACTGATTTGTGGCATTTGCCGGTTTCTCCCACCCTGGCCGATTCCAAGCTACCAACACAAGGTGTTCTGGGAACAGAGGCACGCTATCGGCTCCCAAGCCAGTATGAGCCAGTTCCAGCATATCACAGAAGATTGGTGGGTGATTGAAGTAGAGAAATTGACTGCAGGAGGGAAGATAGAAAGACGGATGCTGGAGAATGCCGCTCTCAATTGTCCTGGGGGAGGAAGAGAGGTTCAAGGGATTTCAAGGCAGTGGAAGACAAGGCTAATTTATCTCTTCCTCGAGCCTTTCCCTCTACTGCTGGTGCTCAGGGATGGCTCCCTCCCCTGAGCTCCTGGAACATCCCTGTCTCTCCTGCTAGAGTCATTTAGCTCGGACCACCCAATGTCGCCAATTATTCACTCATTCACACAGATTTCTCGAAAATCCTTCCATGTGCCAGGCTCTGAACAGGGACTGATCGCACAGACATGAATGAGAGTCCCAGACCTCACTGTTGGGAAGCTTATAGCCGGTCTGTTAAGAAAACAGACCAGTGAGTCAATTGTTTGAATTCGGTGTGAACGGCGAATGAGAGACATCTGTGTGAGTGGCTCGGGCTTCCCGGAGGAGGAAAGCCCAGGACGCGCTGAGAGAGGCCTGTGCCTCCCAGCAGGCTGAGTGTGGCTCACTTCCCCACTCCCTGTGCACAGGGGCACCCTCCCCGGCCAGCCCGAGGCAGCGTTTGACGTGGCTCCAAGGAGATTTATTTGGTTCAATTCTCAGTCGATGCTGGGGGACTGGCTTTTTGGTCCCCCTGAGCAGGGGTCCCAGACCCCTCCCTTCCTTGGGGGGACTGTTCCCTGCAAATGCCGGGTGGACAGTAGAGTCTCCTGGGGGTCCCCAGAATCCAGGGGCTGAAAAGACATTCTCAGGGGAAGAAGTCAAAGAAGGAGCTGTCCTTCCCGGACTGGTTGCAGCCTTCACACACTTCCCCAAGCCCATCGGCCGGTGGGGCTGAACCAGGGAGGCAAGGATTTCTACCCGCTCGAGTGCTGAGGTCTGGGATGGACACTGAGGACCCTCCATGGGGAGTGATCGCCCCCAGAACCCCCCTCCCAGACCCCTCACTCCAGCTCTGCCCTCTGTGCCCACCAAAGGGCCTAAACACACCCGACCCCACCTGCCCGAGGTCCCACCCCTCTGCAACTCCAAACCCAGTTGCCCAAGTCCCAAGAAAACACATTTCCTGATAACCTGCAGGGCCTATGTGTCATGTGCAAACTGGCAAAAAAGCCCCCAAAGGCCGATGCATCCACCCCTGCGGCTTGGGAGTGGGGGCTGGCTACAAAGGGAGCTCTTCATTTCCAAAGGCCTGGGAAGAAAGGGATCCCGGGAGCCTCCTCAGTCAGTCATCTCCCGTCTTATCCTGTTCACCCCCCAGCCTAGCTTAAAGCCCTCCTGCTGCAACATCTCTCCCTACACCAGGTGAGGGTGGAATTCGGCTGCAGCCCCTCCTCTAGCCTTTGCAGGTTTGGGAGGAAGAAAAGCTGGCAGGTGTGGCCTCCAGAGAAGCATCCTTATGGAGCTGGGGTGAAGTCCGTCTCTTCAGATGAGGCAGGCCCAGCCAGCCCCCACCGAGTCCCTTTCTCCCACGCCCACCTGCTGGCCAACCCCAAGCTTCCTCCTGGCCTTCTTTCATGAGGCATCTCAAAGCCGTTCCCCTCCTAAGAAGCCTCCCTGGGTTCAACGGGTGGAGCAGCCTCCCCCACCCACAGCTGGGGCCTGGTAACACCTGACTCCATCACCAGTCACCTTCAGATGAAAGAGGAAACCCCTTACGAGGAGTTAAAACTCCTCCGGCTTCCTTGAAACCCCAGGGTTGGGAGGGAGCCGCTGCCTCTGAGCGAGACTCTGTCTCGAAACGTCCTCCGAAAGACTGGCGAGCGAAAAGCTGCCTCCACCTCCTTCGGCCATCCGCGACAAGCTCCGGGAAGGCTCACTGCAGTCTAACTTAGATACTCTCTGTTTTTCCCTCTGAGTCTAACTTAGTCTATACGTTTCAGCCGCAGATGAGGAACTGAGCCTCCAGCTCAGCAAAGGCCGAGATGAGGGACC